TGAGACAGGGTTTCTCTGTGGCTTTGGAGGCTGTCCTGGAACTAGATCTAGAGGCCAGGCTGGCCTAGAACTCAGAAATCCGCCTGCCTCTGCCTCCCCAGTGCTCAGATTAAAGGTGTGCCCCACCACTGCCTTTAATCTTTCTTTCTTTCTTCCTTCCTTCCTTTCTTTCTTTCCTTCTTTCTTCCTTGTTCTCTCTTTTTCTTATTCTTTGGGCTTTGTTTTTCTGTATATGGATATTTTGCCTGCATGTCTGTCCATGTCCATGTGTGTTCCTGGTGCCTGTGGAGACAGGAGAGGGTATTGGAGATGGTTGTGAATTGCCATATATCAAATCCAGGTCTTCTGGAAGAGCAGCAAATGCTCTCAATCTGAATCATCTTTCTATCCCCTGGCAGAATTTTCTGTATCTCTTTTCTGTTGGTAGGTATTTTATGAAGAGAGTAAGTAGTACCCGGCCTCCTGTGACACCAGGGATTATTCTGTGGGATTAAAGAGTAGTATCTACTTAAATACTACAATCTGGTTTTGAATGCATTCGACTAAAAACTGCTGAAGGTTTTTATAAGTTTCTGCTTACCAATGGGCATGAATTCCTAGCATTTTCTTCCAGTAATGCAGTAATTACTTTAGCTCTCTGTTCTATTTGTGTGGCCCTAGGTTGGTTCATTCGGGTTCTGGATGTCGGTCACCTTCCCTTGGATCTGACCTTACCTTTGCTACAAGGACGGGCTCTCGGCAGGGCATTGAGATGCATCTCTTCAGGGTTGAAACGCACCGGGATTTGTCGACCTGGACCAGAATACTTGTTCAGGGTTGTCATGCTGCTGCTGAGCTGGTCAAGGAAGTCTCCCTAGGTAGAGTTACTTCTGTTTGTTTGTTGTTTGTGGCAGGGTCTCACACAACCTGTCCTGGCTTGGAACTCAGTCTGTAGCAAGGGTGAGAGGATGGCCTTGGACTCCTGATCCTTCTGCTCCACTTCCCCAGTGCTGGAGTTACAGGTGTGCACATGCTATCATTCCTGGCCCTGACCCTGGATTTATAACAACAATTATAGTGGTTTTTCAAGATTTACTTTTATTGATGTGTGGGCATATGTTTGTATGTATGTTCCACGTGTGTTGGTGCCCCTGGAGACCAAAAAAGGGCAGCTGAAGAGACAGGATTTGCTTTTGTTGGTGCTGGGAACCAAACTGGAGTAAGTCCTTTAGAAGATTGAGGTATGTGCCTTTAAAAACTGAACCATCTCTCTTGCCCTCTAACTTTAACTACGTGAAACTGTTCGGCTTTAAAGCAAGTAAAACCACTGTGTGTGTGCTGACTACAAACTGTTAAAACATGGTAGCTGAAGTGGTAATAGCGGAAAGAAATCTGGTATTTGTCTCACTGACAAAGCTTTACCATGCTTGCCACATGGCATTAAGTACCCTACTACCACGTGGCTTTTTTACTCTCTATCATTTTAATCTATATTTAATAGTAAAGGAACCTAGGCAGTAAAAATTAGATGCTCTGACTATAGTTAAGATTTGGCATCTAAGGTATGGCTAGAAACCCTTAAATACAAGTATCTGGCAATATTGTAGCTACATAAAATAAAGTGTCTGGAATAGGAGTTTCTCTTCAAAGGTTTGAAAATATTCTGTCCAACACTTAGTAATTCGAGGAGCTGGTTGCCATGTTTCTGCTATGAAAGCTCCCTCTAGTGGCTAGTCCCTGCTGGCTGTTGTGTTCCACTGTGGAAGAGCTCCTGGTGGCTGCTCCCTATGAACTTGGTGCTGTTTCTTGTACACTCTGTAAGCATACAGGTATTTCACTTACACAAAAACTAGGGTTGCTGTGGCTGTGACTTGAGTTGTAGTTCTTATATAGAGCCAGTGATTTATGCCCTTCCTTCTCTATTCCGATGACTCATACTCATGACTAGATTAAATGCCGGAAGGATATACAGTATCAATCCCCTTCATTCATTAAGTTTGCTGTGTACTTTAGTGTTTATCAAGAGCTATGTTTTATAATGAGAGGTTAAAAGTAAATAAGACTTATTTCCTATCCTTGAACAGGAGCTGTGAGAAGAGTACAGTGTCCTATCATCCTCTGTAATTAGCTTGTTGGTTAGGATGGCTTTTCTTACGCTGTTGAGCAGGAGTGCTACACCAGCCTTTTTCTGGCATAGTTCTAAGGATCTACTGCCTTCAGAATTGCCCTGCAATTCTCAAAAGAGCCTGGGTCAGTGTCCCTCTCTCCCTCCCTCCCCAGAACCCATGTCTACTTCTAAATCCAGCTATTCTGACTCATGTATGTAGTTCCACACCCAGGAAGGTAAAGAAGACTCCTGGGATTCAGTGGCCAAACCAACAAGATACCTTGCCTGTTTCTAAAAAGTAAGACAGATAACAGGCAACCAGAACAATTCCCAAGGTCTGTCCTCTGGCCTCTACATACATGCACAGTATGTATTGTGCATGCATCCACACATATACATAAAGGTACAGAATAGGTAACATGGTTACTCATTTCAGTATAACACCAATCGACCTCTTAGTGAATAAATCTCTTCTCCTCCTGGCTTTACTAAAGTGTGTTAATATTAGGGACTTCTAAAGAAGTTACCTTCAAGGTGGGTGGTGGTGGCACACCCCTTTAGTCTGAGGCAGAGGCAGGTGGATCTCTGAGTTCAAGGCCAGCCTGCTCTAAAGAGCTAGTTCCAAGACAGCCAGGGTTACACAGATAAACCCTGTCTTAGAAAAAAGAAAAAGAAGTTACTTTTAAAAGGTGTATCTTTCTATTCAGTAATTCCCCATATGATGCGAAAAAGCCAAAAACCCTTCATGAGTTTAAGACATAGCAACCAGAGCAGTGGAAGGAAAACTAGATTTGTGGAGATGGTGTCAGGGAGAAGAATGGTGATAATACTAGCTGGTGTGGATTATACTGAAGTTAACAATGTCCACCAAAACTAAGTTTAATGTTTAAATTTCATTATATTATTTTATTATTTTACATATGAGTGTTTTGCCTCCATGTGCATTTGCGAACCACATGTATGCAGAGCCCATAGAAGCCAGAATAGGTTATTGGATCACCTGGAACCGGAGTTATAGACAGTTGTGAACTGCCATGTGGATGTTGGGATTGAAACAACAACAGCTGGTGCTCTTAACTGCTGAGTCATCTCCCCAGCTACTCATTATAACATTTTCATACATTCATATCATTATGTTTTATTCATATTCATCCCCCATTACACTCACTTGTTCCCATACTGTTCCTCTCCTCTCTCCCAAATAATCCCTGTCTTAGTGTTTCTGTTGCTGTGATGGAACATGACCCAAAGCAACTTGGTGAAGAAAGGGGTTATTTCACTCACAGTTCCATAACAGTTCTTTATTGAAATCAATGGACTGGAAGCAAGAGTTGATGCAGAGACCATGGAGGGGTGTTGCTTACTTGTTTGCTCAACCTGCTTTCTTTCTTTCTTTCTTCCTTTCTTTTTCTCGACAGGGTTTCTCTGTGTAGCTTTGGAGCCTATCCTGGCACTCACTTTGGAGACCAGGCTGGCCTTGAACTCACAGAGATCCGCCTGCCTCTGCCTCCCGAGTGCTGGGATTAAAGGTGTGTGCCACCAACGTCCGGCTTCTCAACCTGCTTTCTTATAGCACCCAGGACCACTATCCCAGGGATGGCACCACCCACAATGGGCTGGGCCCTCCCCCATCAATCACTAAGAAAGTGCCCTACAGGCTTGCTTAGCTTTGATCGTATAAAGACATTCTCTCAATTAAAGCTCTTTCCTCACTGATGACTCTAACTTGTGTCAAGCCTGGCCCTACAATGTCTTTTTCTTTTTCTTTTTTTAATTAAACTAAAATGATTTTCATTTTGTTTTTTGAGATAGGTTGTTCTAAATCCGGGCTGATCTCAAACTTCCTATATATCCAGGATGGTAGTGTACTCCTAATCCTTCTCTCTATGCTTCCTAAGCACCAGGATTATAGGTGTACCATCACACCCTCTTAAACCAGATACTAGAAATGCATATATGAAGAAGTATATGTGTCTTCAGGAGTCTAAGGGATGAAGGGCTTCTTTTCCAATCACAGTTTTATTCTGTTTTGTTTTGTTTGAGACAGGATTTCTCTGTGTATCAGTTTTGGCTGTCCTAGAAGTTGCTTTGTAGACCAGGCTGGGCAGATTCACAGAGATCTGCCTGCCTCTGCCTCCCTAGTGCTGTGATTAAAAGTGTGCGCCACCACCACTCAGCGCCAATCACAGTTCTTTTTATTCACTGGACTATATGCTCCCCTGGGGAAAGCCATTCTACAGAAGCTGTCTACTCTTAAGTTAGGGTTGGTCTTCCATGAAACACATTAGGACAGAGCAGAAACCTAAGTTCCTATATAAAGGAAGAATGGGGACATGGAAAAGGGGCAGATAGCCAATGCTTAATATATTTGGTTGGATTTAGAACTTGGAGATAATCAGTGCCCTTGGGGAGAGATATGCTTAATGGTGTGAAGACAGGAGCAAATATTGCAAAAGGCCAAAGGCTGATGGGATAGTAAGACAGACAGTGTGGATCATTCTTTCAGGACATTTGACTTGAACCTTTTTTTTTCTTTTTTCTTTTTTTTGAGATAGGGTTTCTCTGTATTGCTTTGGAGCCTGTCCTGGAACTCACTCTATAGACCAGGCTGGCCTTGAACTCACAGAGATCCATCTGCCTCCACCTCCTGTGTGCTGGGATTAAAGGTGTGCACCACCAATGCACAGCAAATTGAACATCTTTTTTAAAGGCTATTGGTGGCTGAAGGTGTCACTCTTGAAGACAGAATGTTTGCCTATTATGCATGAGGACCTGGGTTTAATCCCCAGCACCACATAGGCCAGATATGATAGTGTGGCTATAATTCCAGCATGTTCTAGTTTCCTGTCTGTGGTTTTAATAAAATAAAACATTGTAACCAAAAGCAACTTTGGGGATGAAAGGACTTATTTGCCTTACACTTCCAGGTTAAAATCCATCACTGAGAGAAGTCAGAACAGGAACTCAAGGCAAGAATTTTAGAGCTTGCCGGCTTGCTTCCAGGTCATATACTCAGCTAGCTTTCTTATACAGCCTAAACCATCCTACCTCAATCATTAATCATGTCCTCTACAGACATGGTCACAGGCCAGCCTGATCTGGGCAGTCCCTTAATTAAGACTCCCACAGATGACTCTAGACGGTGTCAAATTGGCAGCTGAAGTTAGCCAGGACACAGCATTTGAGAGGTAGACATAGAAGAATCTGAAGTTCAAGGTCATTGTTGGCTATACAGACCAGCCCAAGCTTCACTAACACTGGCTCTAAAGTAAATAAAATAAGAGGCTAGAGAGATGGTTCAGTGGTTAAGAGCACTGACTGCTCTTACAGAAGTCATAAATTTGATTCCCAGTATTCGAAAGGAGTCTCACAACTATCTGTAATCCCAGTCCCAGGGGACCCAATGACATTTTCTGGGCACCAGGCATATACATCATATACAGATATAAATGCAGACAAAACATTTGTCCACATAAAATAAAAATAAATAAAACAGGGCTGGAGAGATGGCTCAGAGGTTAAAAGCACTGGCTGTTCTTCCAGAGGTCCTGAGTTCAATTCCCAGCAACCACATGATGGCTCACAACCATCCGTTATGAGATCTGGTGCCCTCTTCTGGTGTGCAGATATACATGGAAGCAGAATGTTGTATACATAATAAATAAATAAAATCTTTAAAAAAATAAATAAAAATAAATAAATAAAATATATAAAATAATATAGGACTAGTGTGGCTCAGTAAGTGTGAGAATCCCTGATAGCCTGAGTGCAATACCAATATCCAGTTGGTAGAGTGAGGGAACCAACTCCCAAACTTGTCCTGTGACTTGCACATGGCCACTATAGCTTGAGTGTGAGTGAGTGTGTACGTGCGTGCATGTGTGTTGAAGCAACCATAAAAAAGATTCTGTTGTCAACCAGGCAGTAGTGGCTCAGCCTGTCTGGAGGCAGAGACAGTTGGATCTCTGAGTTCAAGGCCAGCCTGGTCTACAAATCAAGTTCCAGGACAGCCAGGGTTATACAGAGAAACCCTGTCTTGGGGGTGGGGGGTGGGAGTGGGGGTGGGGCTAGGGAGGATGGTGTTTTTCAAAGTACCTTTTCTCACATATGCTTTCCTTTCCTTCCCTCCTGAGGCAACACAATTCCTAAATAGATCGTGTGAGAAATCTCAGGGCCTTGAAATGTGTCTCAGTGCTTGCCTACCTTGTGAGAGGAATCTCACACTAGCCCATTGTTGATTGATGGCTTACCTTTCCTGGCTGTGACTGTCTGGCCCTCCCTCAGCTGCCTGCTTGGTACCTTCTCCAGCCAGGACTGTGAGAACTTGGGCCATCTTTGAACTTTTCTCCCGTTTAAACCCCATCCTTTCACTGCACACTGGCTTTAGAGATGTTAGGACAGTAATCTGGGTGCTCTGTTAGGGCATGCTGCCACCCCCTTAGCTACTCATTTAGAGAAAATACATGGACTACTACAGGAAGCTGATTGCATCCGTGTTTACTCCTTACCCACTAGGTTCCTCCTCTGAGGATAACTACTAGCTTGTTGTCCAAAGCTCACTTCAAATAGTGCAGACAAGGATACTACCAATATTTATCTGTTTTTCTTTTTCCCAGTTTCCTAAATATACAGCTGCATTAACTAATAGTTTTTGCATGCCCAGTGAGAGAATATGTTGGTTACATGTGATAACCTGCTTCAAGAGCCTTTCTTGTTAAAATGGAAAAGTAAACGCTTAGCCCTAATCTTCAGGTGTCACTCTGTAGCCCAGGCTAGACTTAGATTTTGCTGATTCTGCAGTCTCAGCTATTTAGCTAAGATTATAGGCATGTGCCCCCATACCAGGGATCAGTTTTTGTGTTTTTGTCAATTCAGATGTATCTTTGTTTGGTTGAGCTTTTAAATTTTTTTATTACATTAGTCTGTGAGAGAGTGTGTACATGTGTTGCATATAGAAGTCAGAGGACAATTTGTGAGAGTCTGCCATCTCCCACCATGTGGGTCTGGGGATGGAACAGGCTTGGGAGCAACCACCATTTACCTGCTGAGTTATCTTGCAGCCCCCTTGTTTTGGGGGGTGGGGCTGGCAGTATTTGTTTTCTAGTCTCTGTGGTACTAGGGATTAAACCTAGGGCCTCATTTATCTCTTTCCTGGATACCAACCAGAGCATGTTACAACTCTGAAGGGTATCTCTCTGACTTTGCTCCTTCCTTCTTGCCCAGTTGAACACTTCTCTCCACATCTCTGTCTGTCTAGTTTGATCTTTTTTTGGTTGGTTGGTTGGTTGGCTGGCTGGCTGGCTGTTTTTTCAAGACAGGGTTTCTCTAGGTAACAGCTCTGACTGTCTCAGAACTCACTTTGTAGATGTCTCTGGCCTGGACCTCAGAGATCCACCTGCTTCTATCTTTAGAGTTATTAAAAGGCGTGCACTACCACCATCTGGCTAGTTTTATCTTTTCTTTTCTTTTTTTTTTTAAGGTTTTATTTATTTATTTATTTATTTATTTATTATGTATACAACATTCTGCTTCCATGTATATCTGCACACCAGAATAGGGCACCAGATCTCATAACGGATGGTTGTGAGCCACCATATGGTTGCTGGGAATTGAACTCAGGACCTCTGGAATAACAGTCAGTGCTCTTAACCTCTGAGCCATCTTTCCAGCCCTAGTTTTGTCTTTTGTTTAGGACCTATCTGAATTCCCATCCTAGAAACCTTTTCTTGACTTCAGTCTTAGCTCAGTTTCAAGTGTAATTGTGTCTATACATTCTACCTTGTACCGTTAGGGATTTGTAAAGTCTGAGCAGAGAATCCCCTCTCATCTCCCCTTTACTACATACAGTTGAACTGAGTCAGACAGGGTTCAAGGAGAGTTAGGCTATACTCTATCTCATCTCAGCAAGATGCTGGCTTGGGCAAAAGTAATTTTAGGGGGCGGGAGACTGGGCTCAGTGGTTCAGGGCATGTACTGCTCTTGTAAAGGACTCAAGTTCAATTCCCAGCACCCATGACAGATAACTCACAATCAACTGTAACTCCAGCTCCAAGGGACCCCTGCATTCACATGCCACACACCCACACAGATACACACACACACACACACACACACACACACACACAGTTAAGTTATAGTTAATTCCAGGTGTGGTGTCCTCATATGCCATTAAACCCTGCTTGCCGAAGGTAGAAGCAAGTAGATCTCTGTGAGTTCAAGGTCAGCCTGGTCTACATATCAAGTTCCAGGCTATCCAGGGTTACACAGGAAGATCCTGTCTCAAAAAGAAAGAAAATTCAACCTGGCTTTAGCTCACACTTATAATTCTAACACTCGAGATACACAAGCAGGAAGATCAGGAGGAGTACATAATTACAGACCAGACTGGGGTACATTAAACCTGTCTCCAAATAAAAATAATAGGCCTTTTAAAAAACATAGTGCTTCATGAATTTGCATGTCATCCTTGCACAGGGTCATGCTAATCTTCCCTGTATCATTCCAATTTTAGTATTTGTACTGTCAAACTGTAGAATAATAAATCTTTAAAAAATTTTATTTTAGGGAATTTTAAGCAGCTTAGGACTTATATTCTCAAGAAAAGATTTTTTTTTTCCTTGTTTGAAACTGGAAGAATCCTTTTCTACTTGATAACTAAAATAGAATCTTTTTTTTTTTTTTTTGGTTTTTTGAGACGGGTTTCTCTGTGGCTTTGGAGGCTGTGCTGGAACTAGCTCTTGTAGACCAGGATGGTCTCAAACTCACAGAGATCCGCCTGCCTCTGCCTCCCAAGTGCTGGGATTAAAGGCATGAGCCACCAACGCCCGGCTAAGAATCTTTATTATATATGACTTTTCTTGTCTTCGATAGGCTGCACCTTAAGTGGCCAAGAGGTAAGATTCACTGTCCACTATGAACATGGGTTCACTATCTCCAGAGACAATGGAGGCTCGAGCAGCATATTGTACCGCTATCCTTTTGAACGGCTGAAGATGTCTGCTGATGATGGCATCAGAAATCTCTATCTGGATTTTGGTGGTCCTGAGGGAGAACTGGTAAGAATGTTTTTGAAAACCATGAAATGTCTATTGGATGCCACCCTGAATGGCATGAACCTGCATTAGTTGTCTCTGTCTTTCACATTGCTTCTCTTTGTGTGCTTGCTTGTATGTTGGTGGATGTTGAATTCAAGGCCTCTGCATGCTGAGCAGTGCTTTACTACTGAGCTGCATCCCCAACCCTCCCTCTGCTTCTTAACTCCTATGGCCTAACATTTGACATTCACTTAGAGCAAGGTTTTCAGGATGGCACTGGCACTGGGACTGGGTTAGTTTTGTTTCTTGTTTGTTTGTTTGTTTGTTTTCAAGACAGGGTTTCTCTGCATAGTCCTGGTTGTCTTGGAATTCAATCTATAGACCAGACTGGCCTGAAACTCGAGATACCCCTGCCTCTACCTCCTGAGTGGCGTGCACAGCCACCACCTGGCAGGATGGGGTTGTTTTCTTTTCCTTTCTTTTCCCCACATTAGGGAACCATTCTCTCTCTTTTTTTTTAAGTTTTGTCTGAGAACTGGGGAGAGAGTAATGTGTTTGCTCTACGTGTATGAGTACCTGAGTTCAACCCAAAAAAAATGTACATTAAAGAAGCTGGCTGTGCAGCACACATTTGTGATTCCAGCGTTGGGGAGGCAAAGATGGATGGATCCGTGGGCCTTCTTTACCATCCAGCGTAGCTGAAGTGGCAAGTTCCAGGCCAATGAAAGACACTGTTTCCAAAAAGGGCATGGGAAGAGCCATTGAGGTGGCTCAGAAAGTAAAGGCAACTGCCACCAAAACCTCATGACCTATGATGGATCCCCAGGGTCCACATTGTAGAAGGAGAGAACCAACTTCCATAAACTGTCTCCTGACACGTGCTGTGGCACTCATGTGCTCACTTATACACAAACACACGCTCACACACACATGCTCGAGTGTACACAATTATAAAAAAAATGGTAATTTAGGCATTGGAATGTAGCTCAGTTAATAGAGTGCTTGCCTAGCATGCACAAAGCTCTGCATTTGATTCCCTGCACCACATAAATCTGGGCATAGTTGACACATCCCTATAATCTCAGCACCTTGGAAATCCAGACAGGAAGATCAATATGCAATAAATTTGAGGCTCACCTTGGCTACAAGAGACTACATAAAAGAAAAAAAAAAAAAAACTGTGCAGGGGTGGTGCACGCCTTTAATCCCAGGACTTGGGAGGCAGAGTCAGTTGGATCTCTGTGAGTTTGAGGCCAAGCCTGGTCTACAGAGTAGTTCCAGGACAGTCAAATCTACACAAAGAAACCCTGACTAGAAAAACCAAAACCAAACTAAACCAAAACAAAACAAAACAAAAATGGAGCCAGTGGGGTAGCATATGCCCTTTAATCCCAGCACTCAGGAGGCAGAGGCAGGCAGATCTCTGTGAGTTCGAGGCAGTCTGGTCTCCAGAGTGAGTCTCCAGCTGGGGCTATAAAAAGATCCCTGTCTCAAAAGAAAGGAAGAAGTGGGACATCATATCTTAATTTACTTAATGCTTTTGTTTATTGAAGTGTGTGTATATTATAGTCATAATTCATGTCCTTTCTCCACAGACTGTGGACCTGCATTCTTGTCCAAAGCCAATTGTATTTGTGTTGCATACATTCTTATCCGCCAAAGTCACTCGAATGGGACTGCTTGTATGAGCAGCAAGAGTCAAGAAAGAGCTTTGACTGTCATGAAAAGTATTTACACCTCAAAAACATGAAAATTAAAAAAAAAAAAAAGCAACAACAACAAGAAGCACAAAAAGAAACCCTTGCTCTCCTCCATCATAGTGCCTTCCCAAGGACCTGCAGATCTCTGCTAAACCAACAGGGTTTAAAACGGGCTGACCTTACCCACACAACCTTGGTCAGAAAGTCTAGAAGTATAGTGAGCTCCAAATTGAAGTCGTGATTTATCGTCTCATTTCATAATGTGATCTCTAATTATGTTTATTTCCCATTATGAAGGCTGACTCTTTGGATTTCTCTTTGGGTATAAACAAATAGCCAAAAGAAGTTTCTCTTCCTGTGGGATTTGTTTGGGGCTTAGCCTTGAGCTCTTATTAGGATAACTGCCACTCCCTAGATGCTAGCGTGCAGCAGCCCATCCCGTAGGCATCCCACACAGGTCGTTTGCACACAGTGTTACTCTTTTTACCTGTTCTTCCCCAAAGGTTCTTCCTTGCACCCTGGCTCTCGATGACCTCACCCTGCCCCACACCCCCACCTCTGACACCAGCTCTGCCACTCATGAGTGCTACCTTTAGTCTGGTTGCCTTTGCCTTCACTCCCCCTCTTTGTGGTTGGCCAACTTGAAAAGCAAGTTGGAAACTGCTGCTCTAAAAGGGGAGTTTTGCTTTCTTTAGCTTTTATTGAGTTTATATTTGGTAGGAGCCAGGGGACGGTCTAAGGTTTATTTTCAAAGAAAGATCTTCATTTTAAGCTAAGCCATTTCTTATTGCTTACCAAATGTGCCTTTGGTCAGGGTCATTGGAGCTTTATGAGTGACTGTTTAGATGACTAGATCTCACTGCCATTCTAGGGATACCATAGCTTTGAGGAGTCACCCTGGAGGTTGGTTCCTTCGTGGCTTCTTTCAGTGGGATCTTTGTGGGTCGTTAGTTTCATAGCACAGATGCCATGTCAGGTGCACAGGGCACTGTGAGGCCAGCAAAGATCTGGGATTGGACTTTTATGGCCCCAAAGTAGTAAGGACAAGTTGCCTTCAGCTCATGCTTTAACATTGGCTTCCCCGCACACCGAGTGGGTAGGGGATAAGACAGACCACGGCAGTCACCTGCTTTTGTTTAGTATGGCCAAGTGTCGTTATGACTCAGCATCAGGGTGCTTTCTGGTTTTGTGGCCTGGAAAATCATACTCAGCTTGCTTTTCCTGGTTTGGAAGGAAATAGATGTGTGTAGAAACATTTGAAATAGTCTCTCTACATAAAATATCCAGATTAGCACAGTCCCTAAATTGACTGAGTTTTCTATGCTCTCTGAAAAAATGTCCAGAAATAGCTCTGATTTTCTAGATTTCTGTCTACACGGGGATGTGAAGCTTCAAATGGGGTAGGGGGAGAAAAGGAAAGAAAACACAACTGTTCACACAGAACCTGAGCCGTGTAGTTTGGGTGCCTTGACTGACAGGTTGGCCAGAAGAAAGAACAGATACCCAAGTAGAGGTGGTGACCCCACTGTCCTCTGCTGTCTCTGCATCAGGCCTCCCTCTGCTCTCTACGGTCAGACTAACAGTATATAAAGGCTGGGGAGGAATGCCCTTCCCACTCCACCTTCAAATTGGAACACCAAAAAACGAATGTTGGTATCCACTTTAAACCAGAAATTTAAATCTAAAGAACATCTTTCAAGAACTTTCTATGTTTTAAAAACTTGTAACTCTGAGATTGAATCCATCCATGATACATCTTCAACTAAAAAAAAAAAAAAATGTATTTTAAAGTTCCAGCCAAGTTTAGAAAGCAGAACTACAACAGATAACCTCAGGCAGAGTGCTGGGATGCTCTTGTTACTAGGAGATATGGATGATTCAGGATTCAGTAGTAGAGTTGAAGTCTTCCATACTGGTGTGAAAGGCTCAACCACCAAGAAGTGTGACAGGAGTTTTGCCACCCAGTCCCTTACAACTATAAGCAATGTGAAGTCTATGGCCAGGTAAGGTGTGCATCTATTTTGTTTGAGGACTGTGGCCCACAGGATTTTTAATACTGTCATTTGGGTCCTGATGGAAAATGAAGGCTTATGGGTGATTTCTTTGTTATTAAAGCCCTGAGAGCAAGGGCCCGGAGCTGCTTGTTTGAGAAGCTGTAGCCGCCCCCGGCATGTGGTCAACTAAGTGTGTTGATTTTTTCAAACCACAAGTGAGATGCTTTTGTGAGTGTGAGGCACCTTGACACAGACCTGTGTTATCAATTTTGTACTCAAATGCCAAAAGATGGAAAATATTTTCAAGTCATAACTAAAAATGGACATCTTTGATAATTTTCCTTTTATAGAATCAGCTAAATTGTCTTTTCTTTTTCTTTTGAATATTATTGGGGATATTGTGGGATCTTGGATGTCTAGTGGAAAGGAAACTACAGAGCACCTAGTTCGGTTGGACCACTTCCTAGGTATCTTTGCATCCCATACCTGGATTGCCGGCCCTGGGCATGAGAAGTCTCCTGCACCATAAGACTCAAGGAAGCTGATGTTATCAACAAGCATTGCCTAGAAATTGGTATCAAATATTTTATATAAAGAAATGCTCACGTGGCCGGGCAGTGGTGATGAACGACTTTAATCCCAGAACTTGGGAGGCAGATACAGGTGGATCTTTGAGTTCAAGGCCAGCCAGAGAAACCCTGTCTCCAAAAACCAAGAAAAAAATGAAAGGAAGAAAGAAGGAAGGAAGGAAGGAAGGAAAGAAAGACTCATATATGCTGTATAGATAATTATGACTAAAGTTTCAGGTTAAATATCGGGACATGTATGGGCAATGAGAAATGTTATTTTAAATGTCATCTGCCTATTTTGAAGCCATGTTTAGCACTTTTTAGACTAGAGTAAGTCTGATAGTGCCTGGTGGGGTTTTTTGTTTTTGCCTCAACTCTCAGTTTCTTACTGGAAATTGTTTGCATGGTAGGAGAGATTGGATTATTTATTTTTTTTCTGTGTAGAGAAATCTCTCCAGCCAACAAGAAGCTAACATTGTCTGATTTGTTTTCTTAACTTATCCTCCTGAACAGAGTAGTAGCAAAGCTTTTGTTCAGCTGAATAAATGCACTTAGCTGATAAACCAAAATTTATTCTTTCAAAATAAGAAATTATTGGGGCTGGAGAGATGGCTCAGAGGTTAAGAGCACTGACTGCTCTTCCCGAGGTTCTGCGTTCAATTCCCAGCAAACACATGGTGGCTCACAACCATCTATAATGAGCTCTGGTCCCCTCTTCTGGTGTGCAAATATACATGGAAGCAGAATGTTGTATACATAATAAATAAATAAAATCTTTAAAAAATAAGAAATTATTATCACCAAAAATTATTAGGCTGTGTAGGATCTGAATACAATTCTGCTCCCCCCACCAAAAAAAAAAAAAAAATAGGTTTTACTATGAGTGGATTTGGATAAACAAAAATGTGTGGAGAAAATTGCTGATTTCTTAAAATTTTGTAAGAAACTTGGACTTATTGTTTAGTTTAAATGCATGTGGGTTTGTTTCCAAATCCATCAAAGAATCTGCCCGTGTGTTTTAATGCAAATCGTCTTCCAAGCTGCTATGTAACTTCTATTGAAAGCCCCACCTGCTAAAAGAGTTCAACAGTTTTGAAAAGTTCAGGGAAGAGACTCCAGCACTTTCTCTGTTCTTTTGTATCTTTGTTGGACACCTACCTGGCTCATAATTTTTTATTCTCCCTGCTTCAAGCTATTGATTGCACATTATATTTAAACTATCCAAACAGTCTGCTTCCATTTCCAAGTGGCTGTCAGCAGCTCTAGGTGCCAAATGAACTGGCTCCTAAGAATGCTGGGCTTGGGACAGTGGTGGGACACACCTTTACTCCCAGCACTCAAGAGGCAGAGTCAGGTGGATCTCTGTGAGTTCTAGGACAGTCAGGGCTACAATGAGAAAAGAAACAGAATAACAAAAAGAAATCTGGGCTCAGTGGTGAGAGGGCTTGCTGCTCAACCATGAGGATTGGGGTTTGGATCCCAGCACCCATGGGCAATGGTCCAGGAAAGGAAGGAGACAAACAAATTCTTCATCTCTAATAAAAAGTCAAATGCAGGTCACTTAGTTCTTAAAAGCACTTTGCTCTGAGTGGATTTTAATATGTAGTACTACGGTGGTAGTCTGAGTACTTGGAAACTAAACCAGGTTTGCCAGGCAGCCCCGGTGTTTCAAAACAATAAAATTCTAATACTTCGAAGCTGCAGGCAAAGAATTAAACATTAGCTGTATAGCCAGTTCAAGACCAGCTAAATTACATATGATCCTGTCTCAAAAAAGTAAAATAGATAAATCTGAGAATGCATAAACTTTAGTTGCATTTTATAAAAGTTATGCTCCTTCTTTCAAATGTTTCTGTCAGGCACATGAACCAGGTGGCATTATTGTGTACTGTGAGCTTAGGATTCTTTCCATGACATTACAGTTGTTTTGTGGCTTTTCCTCTGCTGAAGATGAAAGAAACTGCATTTTCCCATTGTTCCTTCTCCATGCCCTTATTTTAATTACTTAGTAATCTAGAATGATTTTTGGTTTTTTAAGACAGAGTTTCTCCATGTAACATCCCTGGCTGGCCTGGAACTCACAGAGATCCCTCTGCCTCTACCTCTGCCTGTGCCTGTGCCTCTGCCTCCCAAGTGCTGGGATTAAAGCACTTTAATCCCACCTGCACCACCTGGCTCCTAGAATGATTTTAATTTCTAAAGGCTGATGGCAATTTTCCCAAACTGTCTTTCCTGAACTGCTCCACCCTTCACTGTGTTGGGCATCTAGACATTGACTAAGAGTGTAATAATAACAGGTAGAAATCATGCATGTCAGGATTGTGCATATTCGAGCAACATAGTTGTTCCACACTATAGTGACGTAAGTGGAAGTCATTCATTCTACCAATAGACTGCCCAAGTAGCAGATCTGAAACCTGTTCTCTCTTCTTAAAAAATGAAATGGCCTGGAGGTGTAGCTCAGTAGTTGAGCACCTGCCCAGCATGTACAAGGCCTGGGACCCTCTGGAACCCTGCTAAAAGCAAACACAAACCCACACCTGTCTGATCAGCAACACAAGTTTATCAAAGGTGAGAGTTTCAGGTTGAGGTTCAAGGAATAGCCACAGGGATCACATTATTTTCTTGTCTCTTTCCAGCAGTGGCCAAATCAACTAGAAAAATGGTTGTTATATTAACTCAGAAAAACATGAATTTTTATTCTTTTTTTTTTTTTTTTCTTTGAGACAAGGTTTCTCTGTGGCTTTGGCGGCTATCCTGGAACTAGCTCTTGTAGACTAGGGTGGTCTTGAACTCACAAAGATCTTCCTTCCTCTGCCCTCTTGG